AACTAGGTCAGATCCAGCATCCAAAGCAAGTGTGGTAGTGTCCATATCTAGATGTGTCACTTGTGCAAGTTTGGCCCAGTCGGCACTTATTATTACTTGGAAATGGACCTGCTCCTAAAACTTTAACCTGGATACTTACACTGACAATTCATCATAAAGGTATAGCAAAAAGCTTAACTCGACTTCCTGAAGGTGAGCCAAAGAAATCATCATTATGATGTAAACTGTTGCCAAGGAAAGGTCAAGGTAAAAAAAAATGTTGGTGCAGTTGATTAACTCTAATCAACATATAAAGTTTAATGAAAATAACTTGGATGATTTCTTTAAAATTGAACTAAACACTAATTTAAGAAAATGAAGTCAAGGTCAAAGTAAAGGTCTAGGTAAAAATCAAAACCGTGAATGGCTTCAAAGGGGTCGAACAAGAAATACAATTTTCAAACAAGATGTGTTTGTGAAACACTATGCGCCCAGCGTCAACAAAGTTCGAAAAAGCTATTTTTAGTATATAGGTCACAGTCAAGGTCACAAGGTCATTGACCTTGGTGTTGTTTGTAACAACTTAATTAGTCGGGTATGCATACTAAATATGAAGTCCCTATCTCCTATGGTTCAAAAGTTATGGCAAAAAGTGGAAAAAGCTATTTTTAGCATATAGGTCACAGTCAAGGTCACATGGTCATTGACCTTGGTGTTGTTTGAAAGAACTTTATTAGTGGAGTATGCATACTAAATATGAAGACCCTATCTCCTATGGTTCAAAAGTTATGGCAAAAAGTGGAAAAAGCTATTTTTAGCATATACCATAGGTCACAGTCAAGGTCACAAGGTCATTGACCTTGATGTCATTTGAAAGAACTTAATTAGTGGAGTATGCATACTAAATATGAAGTTTCTACCTCTTATGGTTCAAAAGTTATGACAAACAGTTGAAAAAGCTATTTTTAGCATATAGGTCACAGTCAAGGTCACAAGGTCATTGACCTTGATGTCATTTGAAAGAACTTAATTAGTGGAGTATGCATACCAAATATGAAGTCTCTATCTCTTATGGTTCAAAAGTTATGAAAAACAGTTGAAAAAGCTATTTTTAGCATATAGGTCAGTCAAGGTCACAAGGTCATTGACCTTGATGTCATTTGAAAGAACTTTATTAGAGGAGTATGCATACCAAATATGAAGTCTCTATCTCTTACGGTTCAAAAGTTTTGGTGAAGGTTAAAGTTGACAACAGACAGACAGACAAACAGACAAACAGACAGGACAAAAACAATATGCGCCCCGAAAAAATTTCGGGCGCATTGGATACAATTTGACGTAATCTTATATTCAAGCTATTATTCACTGTGAGCGTTTTCAAAGAAATTGATTTACAGCTGTTGCTATTTTCTATTGCTGATGCATATGCATCCACTGACACATTTGGTAGCGTAAATCTTACGGATCACTAGATCACGCTTGAGCTTCGCTCGACGCCATAAAAATGTTGATACAGTTGAATAGCTCTCATTAGTATGTATCAACATATGAAGTTTGATAACACCACCTTAAATATTGGATGTCACATTCCAGCAAATCAATGTAATCTATTTGCATACATATGAAAAAGTTCAACAAATAGTATTTTTCCCATAAATGATCAAAATTCCAAATCCAATTGGCAAGTACCATGCGAATCTCTGATATATGTACAATTGATTTGTCTAATATATACTACTTAAAAAATTGTAGAAGTTATCTGGACAATGGTGTTCTCTATATGCAATATTTTGCAATAATGACTGTCAACAACTGGTAATTTTCTCATAATTAAACACAATATCAGAATCCAAGTACAGTGGAGTCGCAAATTCCGGGTTGTCTCCTATTCTGGGTCACTCATGTGCATTTAATGCCATATTGTTAAAATTAAAGCGTAAAAACTTAATAAATACATTGGTCATGCAGAATTGCCTTTCTGTCTGTAATTAATTACAAAATTTTAAAAATCAACTTAAAGAGAGCATTCCACCAACAAAATTATGAAACGCGCACATTGAAGTCGGCGATGTTTCTGCATTGTTGACAGGCTACTTTCTTTTTGCTCGGTACAGCAAAGCTGACATAAGAGTTCTAGACAAACAATAATAGCACGAAAGTATATCACACACATTTAGTTCTAAATTCAGAAATCAATCATAATGATCACTGCTAAAATAAAATTACACCGATCATGCTGATTAATAAATCAAATTGTAGTAGTTTCTCCAATTGCAGTTCATGTGATCAATACTTTTGGATGACTCACTATTTGTACTTTCAATGCATATATTGCATAAAATATAAATCTGACGTTACAAAATATTAATGAAACACCTTGATGTGACCCGGAATTGGCGACTTCACTGTAGTAGTCAAATCTTTTCATATATGTGCAACTCATCTTTAAAATGAAAAACATTGAAAATTTAAGTGATCTGGATTGAGTGGTCATGTTGATGGCCGGCTGGTCTGGGGCCAATGAATTTTTAATCTACCTAATATGTATCTAAAATTACCTAGGGTAGCTTTATTTATCCCATGTTTACCCCTTTATCCCATGGATATAGCTCATTGGATATCGTTTTCATATCCCACACTCAAGTGCAGTTATGATGTCACAATGGTTTTTGCGTTAGCGTGATGAAGTAAAAAATATATCCGAGTCCTACATAAAGGGAATAAAAATCACACAACTCGTTGGATAAAATCAGTTCTACAAACCATGGGAGATCCTATATTTACCTACCCCAGGTAGATTTATTCCCCAGGTAGATTTATTTAGCTATGTAAAGCAACTTTTTACAATTTCGCTTTTTATCTTAAAAAGGCAAAAATTCACAAGTAAATGTCTACTAATATTTATTTATGCACAGAAAAAGAAACATCACCAAGTATTATTTTTTTCATGAATTGTTTTCAGATGAGTTCAAAGTTAAAAATTATCACTGAATCAAAGTACATTCTCCTGTTGTTTCTGGATAAAAATGCTTAATACTGTAGGCCTAATACAAGCTACCAGGTACGTATCTAAATCTAGTGATTGAACCAAACCTGCCTCTCATTGTGCCTATAAACTAATCAACGCCATTGTTTTCTCTAGAGAAAATTCGAACTTAACATTTCATAACATTGCAACTTCTTTATACATTTTCGACATAATTATACAAAAACAAAATATAAATACACAGTAAGATAGTTTATTAGAACATTCACATATTGCTCGAACCAACTTTCCTTCATTATCGTTCATGTGAAACCAAGCTAAAATCCAAAAAGATATTCGCAATAGCACGTTATATATTCCATGCTGTTTAAACTAAAAAAAACTGCAACAATCATACCCACCGTTCGTTATACAAACTCTAAGACCTAAAAAAAAAGACTAAATCGTATTATGACAACTTGAAAGTTGAATGTTCCCAAGACTAGACTTCTCGACTTGTCGGAAGATGCTGGATTGTTCTACGCATGCGCGAGCCTCCATTAGATATTCTAATGCACGAAGTGAATATAGTAAGCAAGCAAATTTCCGAATTTATTTTAAATCGATTGAAAAAAAGTTTTCTTCTCCCGAGTGCATAAATTTCATAATTTTTTTTATAAACAACAATATTACACACATATTTCTCAGTGCAAGTTTAATAGGTATTTTTTTTTTAAAGATTTTCAATGCTTAATTGCATTTTCAACAATGACAAGTATTAACTGCCCCACCCCCTCCAACAGACAGAACCTCTCACCCCAGGGCCACAAATTTCACAATTTGGGAAGGGGCATCCTTGATCATCATAACAATGCACAAAGTTTGTCTGTTTCATACACAGAAGAATAGAAGAAGATTTCTAAAGAATTTATGTAATTTTGTCTATGATCAACAGAGCCCCACCCTAACTCCAGAACCCCTGACCCTGGGGCCATGAATTTCACAATTTTGGTTGAGGACTCAATGCTGATTACAATCATGCCAACATTTTGACTGCTTGATGTCCAGGAGTAAAAAAGAAGATTTTTAAAGATTGCATTAAATTTAGTGGTTTTGGCCCCACCCCTCAGGCCCCAGGGGGGCAGGGATCATGAAATTCACAATTTTTGTCCCCCTTCACCCATAAATGTTTTGTGCCAAATTTGGTTGAAATTGGTTCAGTGGTTGCAGAGAAGAAGCTGAAAATGTTCAAATGTTAACACACGACGGACGACGAACGACGGACGACGGACGACAAACGACGGACGACGACGGACGAAAACAGATAGCAATAGGTCACCTGAGTTTACTCAGGTGACCTAAAAACTAGTCAAAATTTGAATTTGTGCACAAAGAAAAAGGATCATTTAAATGATCAGTCAATAATTTAATTTTGCTTGTATTCTTGCCTCTCATTGGTTGATTTCCAAAAAGGAACGCATAACATTTTGTATAATCTGGTTTGGTATGGGGACACACCCCCTTGACAACCAGCATAATCATCTGTATCCATCAATCCCCTCATTTCCAGTCCTTGGGATTCATGGAAAATTCCAGATTTAATGAATTTACCTTTAATTTCAAACAGTTACCCGATCTTACCTCATGTAAACAAGCATCATGGCTGCTAGATCTATGTATCAGTTTTTACCTCCCCTCGCTTCCCATCACTTCCGTTACTACGGTTGTATTATTGCGCGGTAAATTTGAACTCATAAAAACAACACAATTTTACATCCCCAGTTGAATAATTATTTTAAAATTAAATTATAAGGAATGACTCTAATTCTTGGCCAAATTATCGAGTATAATATGGTTTGGGTCAGTTTACGCTTTTTTTATAATCCGCTTCGCGGATTATAAAGCGTAAACTGACCCAAACCATATTATACTCGATAATTTGGCCAAGAATTAGAGTCATTCCTTAAATATTTTAGCTATCTATATGTATGTTCCAAGTTATTGTGTTCCATAATGGAACTTCCATGATTGATAATTTCATACACATCATACTCACTAAAGCGTTTCATCAGTCGAGCGAGACAGATGAAGTAGCTGTCCAGACTGACACAGAATTTCTCGTCCGCGTACCACCAAACCAGGGACCTCATGGTGGAGTTATCTACCTTGAATCCTGCTGCACCTAGAACCCGTCTGAGCTCAAAGGAGTTGAGCATGCCTGAGCCATCGACATCATACTGATAAAACAACCTCTGTAACAAAACATAATCAAACAATGTTTTCAACAACAATTTTATCCTCACAAAATTTTATTTCGAATTTGAGTAGACTTCTTATCAATTTTTAAACAAATGACTTTTCAGTACTAACCTTCCAGCTACGAAGTAAATTCCACAGGTACAAGAATTCTGTGAAACCAAGTTTACCTGATCCATCAACCTGAAAGCTTGTTTAGGAAAACATATGCCTTGTTTATTTGTTCAGGTGCTAAATATTGAAGTTACCTTCTATGAAATTCAAACTTTTTTATTTATGACCAAAAATTTATAATTTAAATTTAAAATCTAATAATCAATTTCATGAGATGAATTAAATATTCACTGTAGAAAGATACTGTGAAATCACTCATTTTCGTGGGGGTTTAATTTTCGTTCTTTTCTTGGTATGAAAAGACCCACGAATTTATGTCCACCACGAAATGTATATTTTCTTAGGCACAACTACTAAAAAGTTCTTCATCCACCAAATTAAATCCCCACAAACCAACATTTTTCCTCAAACCACAAAAATATGACCCCATGAAAATATAAGATTTCACAGTATTTAAAAAAATATTAATGTATAAAATATCAGTCTATTTGATATTTTCAAATAGACTGATATTTTATACATTAAAATATCAGTCTATTTAGAAAATGAAATCAGAAGCATGTGGGGGTTTGACTGTTACTTTAGTTCTTTTTCATCAAATGCAAGAGGTATAGCAATTCTATTCAATAATAATTTTGAGGTTAAAATGTCTAAGGAAAAAGGGGACGTGGATGGTAATTTTCTTCTTTTAGAGTTTACTGCTGATGAAAAAAGGTTTCTCTTATGTTGTATATATGGACCAAACAATGATAACCCTGATTTTTATGAAAGATTACATGAGTACATTAATGATTTTAATTGTGAAAATGTTATATTATGTGGTGACTTTAACCTTGTTTTAAATCCTGAATTAGACTACTATAATTATAAACATATAAATAACCCTAATGCAAGACAGAGGGTTATAGAGCTTATGGAAGATAACAACTTAGTTGATATTTATAAACAAAATAATCCAGATGCTTTGAGATATACTTGGAGAAAAAAAAGTCCCATTAAGCAAAGTAGATTAGATTTTTTTCTTGTATCGGAGAACTTACTGTCAAGTGTTACAACAAGTTCTATAGAACCTAGCTATAGGTCCGACCACTCGATTATTACTTTATGTTTAAAGTTCAATGATTTTAAGAAAGGCAAAGGATTATGGAAATTTAATAATTCTCTTTTATATGATGAAGAATTTTTAAACTCAATTAAGGGGGTGATACAAAGGGTTAAAGAGCAGTATGCAGTTCCAGTATACAATATAGATAACTTGCAATCTATTGAAGATGAAAATATTGCATTTTTAGTCAATGACCAGTTATTTTTAGAAACACTTCTTATGGAAATTAGAGGGAAATGTATTTCATATTCGTCTTTTAAAAAAAAATCCAGAATTTTTAAAGAAGAAAAACTTATAAAAGAAATAAGTTCCCTGGATGAATTGGCACAGGGATCTACAAGCAATAATGAAACTCTTGAAGAAAAAAAAAGAATTGGAAGATATTAGAAAAGAAAAAATGGCTGGTGTATATATAAGGTCAAGGGCAAGATGGATAGAAGAAGGGGAGAAACCGACAAAATATTTCTGTAATCTCGAGTCAAGAAATTTCATAAGTAAAATTATTCCAAAAATTAAATTAGAAAATGGAGAGACAGTTTATAACCAGTCAGATATCTTAAAAACAACCAAACAATATTATGAAAATTTATATAGAAATGTAGATGATGTCATTGAAAATGTTAACCTTCAGGAGGAAATGAATTTTTCAGATATTGGAAAGCTTTCCAATGAAGAGTCAAGGTCATTAGAAGGTCAAATTACAATGAAGGAGGCAGGGGAAACACTTTTTAGGATGAAATCAAATAAATCACCTGGATCAGATGGCTTTACCTCAGAATTTTTTAAGGTCTTTTGGAAAAATGTTTTAGAAGCCTGGCTATTTTTTTCTAAAAAATTACCAGAACCAGAAGCAAGTGCCTCTATGGAACCACTATTTTTTAATAAAAATATACTGATTGGCAAGAAAACAATTTTTTAAAAGAAATGGTTTGAAAATAATGTATTTTTCGTAAATGATCTCTTAAGAGAGGACGGTTCCTTTATGGACATTAATATGTTTAAATTGAGATATGGAATCCATACAAACTTTCTTGAGTACAATGGACTTATAGCTGCTATCAGAGAATGGATGAAAACCAAAAATATAATTTCTATGTCAACTGTGTATATGCCATATATTACACAAAAAACATTCAGTTTATTAAATGCGAAGAAATCAAGAAATTTATATGAAATTTTGAAAAGCAATGACATCAAGCCATTAGGTCAAACTAGCTGGAATAGAATTTTTAACTTGCATGATATTGAATGGGAGAAAATTTATTCTTTTTCTTTTAAGCTCACAAAAAGATACAAAACTTCAGTGGTTTCAGTTCCGAATTAATCATGAAATATTAGCAACAAATTCCTTTTTACTTACATGTAAAATTAAGAAAATAGATTCATATGGGTGTTCTTTTTGTGAAACTGAGACAGACACTATTGCACACATCTGGGAATTTGAAGTAATACAAGACTTATTGAACAGTTTTGATAGTTGTTTCAGAAAGATTCATATTAATGTTGTATATTTGAAAAAAGAATTCATATTGGGATCTTTTGCAAAATTAGACAAAATAAAATATCTAATTGCTCTTCAGATTAAATATTTTATCTACAGAATGAGATGTAGTGGTAAATACCTCTCCTTGAATGAACTGATATCCTCCATCAAATATATGTATGAAATAAACAAGTATATTGCATATAAGAACAATAATCAGGTGACTTTTGACGAAGCCTGGAAACCCTGGAAGAATCTGTTTTTGTAATTTTTTCTTACTATCCCTTCTCGCTCTCCTCTCTCTATTGCTCTACTACTACTCTCTCTCTCTTTCTCTCTCTCTCTCTCTCTCTCTCTCTCTCTACTCTCTCTGTATATTTGTATTGTATAAGTATGTATTAGAATCTGTAAATAAAAAAAAAAAAAAAAAAAAAAAAAAAAAAAAATATAAGTCTATTTAAAGATATGTATGCCGTGTTAAACAGTATTTTTGCACAGCTGAAACCGAACAAAAATTTCTGAAGTATGATAAGCTACTAAAAATAAAGCATTATTGCAAATTCGACTAAATTTTATTCGGTATTAACAAAGTACTGGTCAGGAAAAGAACATGATATTCACATGCATATTTATAAAGGACTGACGTTTATCCTGGATCTGCGCATGTGCGCGGGAAAAGCATCATGAGAATCATCTAGTCGAGGAAAATATTTTATGTGACGTCTGATCAGTGAGGGGGACACAAATAGACCAATCAGCTCAATGAGTTGCATTTAATGCAATTATGGGTTACTACATAAAATACTACATGTGATTTTTAAAAAGGCTAGTTTTTTAAATCGCTCTCAGAAAGACTTGATGCATTATGTACATTATTATCTACTAATCCCATGCTCATATTTGCATACAAATGATTAACAATGATGAAAATTTAAAGTTTTCCCCACTCCATTGTACAGGTCCGTTTGTTTAGAGTTTCCCCGTGCTGTAATGCTAGTGGACATTTTCGGTTCGGTGAACATTTACGGATCTTCAGTATGGAGCGCATTATGCGCAAAAAATATTTTAGGTCAAGTACAATGTACGGAAAGTAATTTAAACTGCTATGTTTGCATCCTGAATGGGATATCGTCAATAATCCCTTTTGGTTTTTAATATGAACTACATATTAACATATATAGATGAAACTTACATACCATACATCTTGCCTTCTTAGAAATATAGTTGGGCTAATAAAATAAAATTGGTCAAGGAATTCCAGGCCTCTAAAAAACTATTCCAGTTTGAGGGCACAACCAAGCATTTGGATGAACACCATTAAGAAAAATTAATTCAGGTAGGTAGCATTGGGTTTTTTTAAGTGGGTGGGGGGATAGAACAATTAGAATAAAAATCAAATAGCTCAAAGAAATCTGACAAGTAAAATAGGTTCCAATATCTTTCACTACTAAATTTTATTCATTCACTACAATTTACTGCCTAACTCCAAATTTCACTTTCGAATTAGCCCGAGCCAATGCTGATAACCTACTTGCAAGATTTTTTATATTATTTTCAAGGGGTCAGAAATACTGTGGTTCATATGTAAAGAATGTAATTATATTATTTAGTAGTATTCTTGTTTTGGCATTTGGTATATTGTGCAGATTTATACATGATATTCTGTGGAATACTTTTTGTTGTTTTGAACCATTAAGAAATGCAGAATCGAATGTAACTAATAACCATTTTGATTGATCAAATTATATCATTTGTTTGTATTAGTTATTTCATTTTGGCACAACATGGTTTCCACACTTCTTTATCTATAGTCGCTGACATAAGTAGAAGTTCACCCAACCGAAAATGTCCATTGAAAAGACAATTGCATGTGATTTTTCCTCGGTACAAAAAGCAACCAACTCTGAGGTGCTCTCAATATTGACAATCCCTAACTCACGTGTTTGTAGTAAAAACGTAGTAGACCATCATGCTTTTCGGTTCATTCACGAGACTGGACCATTGTTTGCTGTAAACATGGGAGACAATGTGATCATGAATATTTCGATAAGAGGCGGTTTTTTATCCGACACGGAGAGAAAATAATTTTTACCAAATAATATTTCATAACTTTTAAAAGTGATGGAGTGGAATTGTCTTATTTGCAGAAAGTATATAACTTATATAACTTGATGAGACACCACATATATTTATTACTTTTAAAATAAAACACTAATACGGCATATATAGCTTTAAATAGAATATTTTGAAAGAATATAATCACATTATTTTCAAATTGTAAGAATCTAGAACACACAAAGTAAAGGGAAGATAACTCCTATTTCATCTTTCCCTTAAGGTCATACGCAACGTAGTTTGAACTTTTTTGGGTTCTTCCCTGGAGTTGAAGAGTTCCATTAAATGAAGGACATGTGTGCAATATTTTTAATGTCTATATATGGATTTGTACACCTCTTCTAAAACAATTTTTGATGAGTTAAAATCTGGAATTTGTGTTGTATAATTTTCGTACATTTTTATTTGAATAATGCAAATTTTTTCAAAATTCGATATCTTTTCAAAACCTCTGGTAAGGCATGCTGATTTTTTGTCTATGAACCTGTAATTATATTATAAGTTTAAATTTGTTATATCTCTGAAATCTATCAGTAGGTAAGGTACGTTGCGTATGTCCTTAAGTTGAATGTATACTACTTGTATACACAAATGTTTGCAATGTGTATAGAAAGGATACGTCCATTAAAGCTACAAAGGATTTACAGGCCTGTATTCCTAGGTGATGATGTAAAGGCTCTGTAAAAAATATTTATCCATTCATCAAAATTATAACTATTACATGTAATTATAAATTAAACTAACTGGCTTATTATTAGCTTACTACATAAGACTTAAACATATTTTCTATGAAGTGAAAATGAAAATTTGGATGCTAGAATTTTGTTGTTATGCATTTTTTAACATTGCTTACATTACTTTAACTGCAATTTAAAATTTTGAACAAATAAATAAATAAATTCTGGAATTTATACTTATGTACCTATAAATCGATATTTTAGTCTCCTTTCACGATATGTCCCATGCAGTCAAATATCACAATATATAGATATCCCCTTATAAATAAAACAACCTCACCTTTCTGTAAAGCTTCATTTAAGGCTGTCTGTAATTCAAACGCACTCACTTCCATGTCCTATAACAAAAGATTAAATCATTTACTTATAAAGTTACCAGGTGTCTATTACAAGAGCAGAGATAAACAGTTTATTCAAATAAAACATAAAACCTGAGAAATTCCTCATTTTCAGATATATATTCAAAATATCAGTACATTACTCATTTTAGTTATTTCAGTATAAGGAATGTATTTTGTATCTCAGTGATTAATTTGCATTATCATAAATTAAATCATCCACATACTACAGAGGAACATACACTGTATATCTCCTGGTAAAATCACGAGTTTACAATCTTTTGACAGGATTTAAGGAAGTCAAATAAACTAAGAGTTACCTCTCCTGAAACTGAGTGAAAGAAGCGTTTGAAGTGATCCTCCTTGTCTTTGTCAGTAGAGGGGAGGGGCAGCTCTTCTCTCACCGGGGCCTCGTCCACCTCTCTGGAAGATATCAGCATTTCTGTACTTTATTTAACTTGCTAGAGCATAAAGTTTTGACTTCCTGAAATATTCCTTATGACAGGTATAAATACAGAGAATGTCCTTAATTGATCTTAAATAAGTTTACATTTTTACGAAACTTTTTCTGTATTTGTTTATGGGTTACATGTACATATGTATATGTTTCTTGCTTTTCTTGAATATTAGATTTTATATATAAACAAGAGGCCCACGGGCCTTATAGGTCACCTGAGCATTATGCAACAACTTTCAAGTTACAGTGTATTGAATTTGATTCATGTTTTAAGCCAGATGCTATATGGCATTCACAATTTTGAAAGAGGCACCATTGATCATCATAACAATACACTTAACAGTTGCTTAGCTTGGTAACTGAATACCCATACGCAGGGTAGGGGAACAAAAATGCACTCCAAGTAATCAGTAATATTCAGCAATAATCAGTAGTGCCCTTAACATAGTGACATAAACCCCTGACCCTAGGTCCAAACATTGCACACATTTTTAAAAGGCACCCTTAAAATTGCCTATCAAAAAAATAAATAAATGTTTTATAAATACAATGGAGCAGATTTCAAACAATAAATTCATTTTCAGTAAAAAGCAGAGCCCCCCCCCCCCCCCAACCCCTGACCCTGGTGCCTTAAAATACTAAATTCTGCAAGATTAGGGCCCTTGCTCATCATAACTATATATTAAGTAGGTAATTCATCTACTTCATACCCAGAGACAGAGAAGAAAATTTAATGAATTTTCACTATATAATCAATAGAACCCTGGCCTAACACCAGAACCCTTGACCCTGGGACCATAAAATTCACAATTTTTGTTGAGGCACTCTTGCTCATCATTACTATGCACTTAGTAAGTTTATTTAATACCTAGGACCAGAGAAGAAGATTTTCAAAGAATTCATGTATTTTCACCATATAATCAATAGAGCCCCCCCCCCCCTCCCCAACCAGAACCCTTGACCCTGGGCCGGGGCCATAAAATTCACAATTTTGGAAGAGGCACTCTTTCTCATCATAACTATGCACTTAGTTTATTTAATACCAAGGAGCAGAGAAGAAGGTTTTCAAAGAATTCATGTATTTTCACAATATAATCAATAGAGCCCACCCCACCCTACCCCAACACCAGAACCCTTGACACTGGGGACATAAAATTCACAATTTTGGAAGAGGCACTCTTTCTCATCATAACTATGCACTTAGTCTATTTAATACCTAAGAGCAGAGAAGAAGATTTTCAAAGAATTCATGTATTTTCACTATATAATCAATAGAGCCCCCCCACCCCCCTCCTCCCCAACACCAGAACCCTTGACCTTGGGGCCATAAAATTCACAATTTTGGTAGAGGCACTCTTGCTTATCATAACTATGCACTTAGTTAGTTTATTTGATACCAAAGAGCAGAGAAGATTTTCAAAGAATTCATGTATTTTCACTATATAATCAATAGAGCCCCCTCCTTACACCAGAACCCCTGACCCTGGGGTCATAAATTCACAATTTTGGTAGAGGCACTCTTGCTTATCATGGCTATGCACTTAGCTAGTTTCTTTAATACCTAGGAGCAGAGAAGAATATTTTCAAAGAATGCATGTATTTTCAACTATATAATCAATAGAGCCCCCCCCCCCTCCCCAACACCAGAACCCTTGACCCTGGGGCCATAAAATTCACAATTTTGGTAGAGGCACTCTTGCTTATCATAACTATGCACTTAGTTAGTTTATTTAATACCTAGGAGCAGAGAAGAAGATTTTCAAAGACTTCATGTATTTTCACTATATAATCAATAGCCCCCCTTCCCCCCACCCAATCACCAGAACCCTTGACCCTGGGGCCATAAAATTCAAAATTTTGGTAGAGGCACTCTTGTTCATCAAAACTATGTACTTATTTAGTTTATTTAATACCTTGAGGCAGAGAAGAAGATTTCCAAGGAATTCATGTATTTTCACTATATAATCAATGAGCCCCCCCCCCCCCCCAACACAAGAACCATTGACCCTGGAGCCATAAAATTCACAATTTTGGTAGAGGCACTCTTGTTCATCATAACTATGTACTTAGTTGGTTTATCTAATACCCAGGAGCAGATTTTGGTAGAGGACTCAATGCTGATTACAATCATGCAAAAAGTTTGACTGCTTGATGTCCAGGAGTAAAGAAGAAGATTTTTAAAGATTGCATTACTTTTAGTGGTTTTGGCCCCACCCCTCAGGCCCCAGGACGGCAGGGATCATGAAATTCACAATTTATGTTCCCCTTCACCCCTAAATGCTTTGTGCCAAATTTGGCTGAAATTGGTTCAGTGGTTGCAGAGAAGAAGCTGAAAATGTTCAAATGTTAACACACGACGCACGACGGACGACGACGGACGAAAACGGATAGCAATAGGTCACCTGAGTTTACTCAGGTGACCTAAAAAAAAATTCACACTTCCTTTTTTTCTAAAAATATATTATTCATAGTTTTTTTTACTCTAAATAAATACTTACTCAACAGCATTTCTGTTCTCAAAAAAGAACCTCAGATAAAAATCGGCCTCTTCATTCTGGTCCCACGTACAGGGTACCACTATGTAATCCCCGGGGGGTAGGGACAGTCGGGCGATTCTCTGACGCATGTTGATAAAGTGACCGCTAGATTCCACGCTCTGATTTGTATCAAAGAATTCTCTCTTTAGGGGAACAGTGTGGTCACGTGATAACTAAAATAGAAAATTAATACTGTATACAGGGAAATTTTCGCCCTCGTTTTATTTTCAACCTTTATGCCCTACCCTTTTTTGGGTGAATTAAAAATAGAGCAAATTCTAAGAAAACAGTATAATTCTTTGAACAAAACTGTATCTGGGCGAATTTAAAAGGCCTGGGGCAAAATTGTTTTCAAGTATGAACTAGCGAAAATAACACTTAGCAAAAATAACCCTGTTTAGTAATACAGTAGTTAAAACTGTTTTTTACCAATTTTTTTTACCAACACAGTTAAACTAATTGATATTTTGAAGTTATTTGAAAATTCTAACCACTCTTTTCCCTTTGTATTTTACCCCAAACTTAAGACAATATGACAAATCATGGAATATCTCAATTCTTTTCCTTGGTTTTTCCGAACTCAGATAATGATCCAGGTTTGACTATATAATAATATGTCCCTTCATATAATATAAAGAGTGAAATTCATAGCCTATAATCTCCTGATAAATAAGATAAAGAAGATCATTCTATGAGTTTTGTTTACCCTATACAGGAGGAAGCCTATGTAGATGAGCTTCTCTCCCCTGTGTTTGATTTTCCGTCGGTCTTTCTGCATCAACTGAACAATAAAGCTACACACTTTGTCGCCGTCCTCGTCTGTGTCTGACAAGGTCACCTTGAAGTGGGGGTTCGTCCAATGAGAATCTACAACAGACAAAAGAAAATAATTCACATGAAAACACGCCAAGTCAACATACCACTCTGATTTAGTCATCAATTATTTACATATTGAACAATTCATATCAAATGAAACCACAGTATTAAGGTTTCCCCCTACTCCTACAAGTAAGAGCCTTGGTTAACATCCCAACACTCCTTCTATACCTCAGACATCAAAAGTATCTCGCCTTTAACTTCTAGCATGCTGGAGTAGGTCTCCCCCTCTTCTTGTAATTCTGAGTACTTACCCCTATATTTTGGTCTTCCCCCGGCATTAAACCCTCTCATCCATCGTTCATGATACTCCGCTGTGTGCCACTGTTTAGGCATCTCCACAGGAGAATCAGGGGTCAGGTTACATACGTCTAACGAATCAAAGTTACGCATAAAATCTGTAAACTCCATCCTGTAAATCAAATAGTATGACATTGGTACATGTACTGAGATAGTCATAAACCTATCCAATTTTCTTACAAAGAAACTGACAGGTGATACACAGTGTGTACATGACAATGGGTACAAAACAATGAACTCTGTTTATCATGTTTTATTCTATCTCACTTTAAGATAGAAATTTGCTCTGACAGAGAATTGCTACATTAAATGATGCTGATTCATTGATTATGAACAAATCTGTATTAGATTCCTGTTTCAAGGTTAAGGTATCTGTTTGTGTAACATATATGATTCTGTCCATTTAGAAGTTATTTACCAGAACTCGCCGTCATCCCTGAAGATCAGCCCCATCTTTTCTCTGTCGTCGGCTGGAATACTGTTCCACTCTCGTGATCTGAAAGCACAATTTATACCTAAATTAGTGTCCTTGACCATAGAATTCAAAACCCTCCCCCCACACCTGTCCCTGAC